ATTCGACGCCGAATTGCAGAAAAACGGCCTCATTTGGTGAAGAAAATAGTGCTCTTGCAACGCACCGGCTCACACCTCCACCATCGCGTCGCCACAAACTACTGCCCCATCCACCGTATTCTCCAGATTTGGCCCTGTGAGGCTTCTTTTTGTTTTCAAACTTGAAAAAGTTACTCGCCGGATGGAAATTTGAGTCGAAGGATTATGCCACCGCCGCCACGGAACCTACTTCGAGAGAACGTGTTTTTCAGACAGGTTAAAGAAGTTTGAGCATCGCTGGGACAAGTGTAACGACCTAAAAGAAGACAATTATTGTCGCCACTTTTCCAAAATTTTTGTGTTTCTCTTGTAGCCTAAGTACTTATCGAACCACCTTTGTACCATCGATGCAAAATAGAGACCTTTTGTCATTAATTGTACAGCTCCCGCCTCATGAATTCAAAAGAATCGCTCACCCCAAGATTTCGTCGCTAAATTCGCAGAAACGGGATGTGTTATCAATAAAAAAAGAAAACAACCAAGATTGTTTAATGAAGCAGCTCAGGTGGAAGTTCTTGGTGAATTTTCCATAAATCCCTCAATGTCAACATTTAGTTTTTATTGCTAAATTTTTGTTAAATTGTCTTAATGAATATTGACTTTATTGGTACAACTGGAAAGCATTTTCAGTATAGCTTTCCAACGATGTGTCACATGTATGGGGTTGCCCCATTGCTGGGGGGTTAAGGGGGTGGGGGATTGTCACTCATAACGTCATTCTGGTTTCCCCTCGATATCCCCGAAACGGTTTGGCGCGATTTTCAATATCTTCTTTTGTTTGTAAAATATGGCCGACTGCAAGTTTTAAAATTGACACCCCGTATATAAAAATTTACCTCAGGACATCAGATAATCAATGAATGTATGTAGTAATAATTTAAATTTAGCGCATCATCTATGATCAGTTTTCTAAACATGTCTATGTCTTACACTAAAAAACTATATTGTTTAATCTGCATTTCATTGTGAGTATAATAAATTTGTCTGCACAGAACTACAATTCACACTAGCGTTATGTGATATCCTGTTTGAATTTAGTTGCTTTTGCTAGTAAACGACGTCGATCGACAACCCTCTGCGCGTTGTACACAAATTGCTTTGATATGAAGGAATCGACTCTATAAGAGTGTGCAAACAATGTCATTCCCGGTTTCTTCCAAGTAAAGTATTAATTTCGTATAATCGGTTATACTTAATTATACGAATATAAGGGATCTTTGAATGTCATTTAATGACGTAGGCAAACATTAACCAGCTCGAGAGCCATTAGCAAATCATCTAAGTGACAGTTCCCATAACGCAAATCCCAAGAGCCCGCGCGCAGTCACGTGTGAGGGATTAGTATCACACTGCCATCCATCACCCTCATACTCTTGTCTTTTCTCTGCCACCCTTATATAAGAGGCTTCTTCCTGTTCTTGTAAAGGAATCACAGCTAATATTGATTGCATTGGGGATCAAACTCAGTACTCTCAGAGAGGAGACGTTTAATTTCGTGTCGTAAAATAATTGATGTCCAATTCCTCGTTTTAGTGCTACGCGTTTACAAATAATCCTCAGTTAAGTCCATCGCATCTAAAAACAACAATGAATTTCATTAAAAAGAGAATTTGTGTATTACGTGCCGCAGTAGACAAATGTTGAATACACTATTAATAATAACGTAATGATTTTGTCGATTGTGAATGAGGTAGGTAATAGTTATTTACATAAAAGTCCGGAAAATGACACATTACTGTTACCCATAATTTAATTTGTTAACATAAAAAACAAAATATAGAAGTTTAGTAATTAGTGGATTCAATGGAAAATCGAAGCAACCAAGGAGATAATTTTTTTATCAATTAATATACCGTAAATTGTTATTCCGGTGTTATCATTTTTGCTGGACAGTACACAGTCAAAAAACCACCATTTGTAGTCAAATTTCAGATAAGGAAGGAGATCTCTTGAGTATTCAAGGAAAGTAAAAGAGGTAAAGTTAATAGGCAACTGCCGAGCTATTCTTGCAGGCAGTTGATTCAAAGTCCATCGCGTGGTCCTTTAACCCCGCCCTTCGGCTCTACGTTTTGGTGGGTTTTGGGCGAATAGCGTTAAAGCGGTGAAAGGCCACCTTCTTCGAATAATCAATCAAATTTTTAACTTAGAAAATTATTTAAAAAAATACACTTTTTGTTCAAATTAATATAATTAGCGCCATTTGTGCCTTATTAGTTAGTCCAGATACCACCGATTTAACCAGCTTGACCCCTGGTCATTTCCTGACGTTGGAACCTCCATCTGCGCATTTGATCCTGATTTATCCCATGTTAATATGTCACGTTTATCGCGATGGCAGCTAACATAGCAAATGCAGCTATCATTTTAGTCTCGTTGTTAAAATTGTAAAAATCCGGCCACAAATATTAAAGATAGCGTTGCCCATGGGCAATCCATTTTTGACATGCTACTTCAATTTCAGTTTATGAGAAGAATTTCATTTCAATGCTTTTCTAAATAAGAAAGTTGGAACTGCGCATGCGCAAACTTAAATTTTGAAACTAATGTTAGATTTTCCTTTGTTCCAATCGCCCAAGTATAAAATTTCACTTAAATGCTTCCATAGATAAAAAAGTTGGCACTGCGCATGCGCAAAATAAAATTTTGAAACTGGCGCTAGATTTTCCTTTATTCCAAGTGCCTATGTATCATATTTCATTTAAATTCTTCCATAAATAAAAATGTTGGCACTGCGCATGCGCAAAACCAAATTTTGAAATTGGCGTTTGATTTTCCTTTATCCCAAGTGCCTATGTATCAAATTTCGTTTAAATGCTTCCATAAATAAAAAAGTTGGCACTGCGCATGCGCAAAACCAAATTTTGAAATTGGCGGTTGATTTTCCTTTATTCCAAGTGCCTATGTATCAAATTTCATTCAAATAGCTTTATAAGTACGCATGTTCAATAAATACACGTTCGAACGCTGTAGCACGAATGTTAGTTTTGCTATAACTTCAGAAAGTTACATAAGACGGTCGTCGGTAATGTAGGTGTCTACTGTGACAGTTTCCTCGTCATATTCGTAGAATACACAGTTGTTCTGCGCGTTTCAGTATGGCAGGTCGTATCGTTGGAGCGTCCAAGATCGATCACCGAGCACTACCTGCTTTTTCGATCACCGTGGACCATGAATTTAAAGACCCTCCTGTTAACATCAATGCTGTCCGATACAGTGAAACTTTGACTCGCTTGCATACAGCCATAAAGAATAAACGTCTTGGGATGCTAACGGAAAGCGTGATTCTTTTTCACGATAACGCCCGTCCGCATATCGCTAACATTATCACGTCACAGATAGCGCGGCTGAGGTAGGAAGTATTAGAACACCCCCGTTACAGCTCGGTTCTGTCACCATATGACTTCCATGTCTTTGGACTCTTAAAGAAGGCACTCAAGGGACAGCGATTCCATTTGGACGCTGAAGTCCAGCAGGCAGTTTTCACATGGTTCTGTCAACAGCCACAGGAGTGGTATGCCACCGGTATACCGCGTTTTGTGAAGCAGTGGGATGCCTGCTTATGTAGTAATGGCAATTTTGTTTAGCTTAAATGAACCGCTTATATGTAACACCGGTCGAACGTGTATTTATTGAACCTGCCTCATTAATTACTTGTGCTTTTTATTCGGACACTTGCCCAAGGTGCATTTTTAATTACCTATTCAAAATGTTGCAGTTCAGTTTGGAGTTTAGGTATGACTTACTATCTGTTAGAAGTTAACAAGGTTAACAGAGCAGAGTTGAATTCTCTTCTCTGTTGCCGGGGAGAAGTTTTGTGCCGTGTTAATAAGGAAAGGGGAAGAGCTAGCTAGGTTGTTTCGTTTGGTGTTTTGTGTGACGGTCTTTTTTGGCCTATGGATGAGTGCACACACCAATATCGTTTGGAATGTGAAATAGCAAACTGAATATAGTTGTGAACAATAAAAAAAATTTTGAACTGGAATGCCTGGAGAACGACCACGGATAAATTGATAGAATTTCCCAATTCCTCTAAACGCGCAGAACACACTTCAATGAACTCGCGAGGTACCAGACAAGGCTGGATAATTAGGTATACAAACAACCGCTGCCAAACTTAGGATGAGGATGCCTACCACATCCTACGTTAGAGCCCTTTCACACGATCCGTTTTTTTTAACGGACCGCGTTAAACTGACGGTGAAATACTGGCCACCTGCAAGAAACACATAATTGTATTTGAATTTGAGCATTTACACGTTACGTGATCGAGCGTCCGTAAAAAAATTCGGTTCCGGTACCGGCGCACCAACGGAGTCACCCGATTTTATATAAAGTAGGGGTTAAAAATGTTTTTTGATATTTGTCGAGTCAATCGCAATTATTTGCAGATCTTTGAATTGGTAATTTATGATCACCTGCATGCATGTTAATTTGAGCAGATAGACAATCCAACTCACTATTTAAATGAAATTTGATACATATGCACATAATTTATTTATGGATGCCCTCAACGGCTGATTACAACTGTTCAACTAGATTTGAAAACAAATTCACCGAAAACGTGTGAAGGATTATCCGTTTTGCGTCCGGTGATTTCACCGGTCCGTCAGTTTACCGGTCCCCTAAAAAAACGGATCGTGCGAAAGGGCCCAGGCGGCACGCGATTTTGGTTATCGATGCCGTTCCAGCTACAAATATAAATTGTGTTGGAAAGTGTGTTGTGTATGTTTAAAAAGGATGAGTTGATTGTTGTTGAAGTGTGATGAGTTTTTGTTTTTGTAAAACGTCGGATAAGAAATTGTAATTTTTGACAGGAAAAAGAAAAATAAAAAACGATTTGAACTTAATCCGTGACAGGACTCATTTGTAATTAGAATTGATTACCTATTATTTTAGGTAAGAAACCACATATTTGGCGACCGTGTCTATAGATCTTGCAATCTCAAGAAAACGAAGGAAAGATGAACCAAGCATCCCTTAGCAGGAAGCGCGCTCCAATGCGAGCAATGATTACAAAGACTATTAAGGAAATTGAATTGGCGCTAGATACCAGAGATCAGACGACCTTTGAGACAAAGATTCATTGGTTGAAAATGAAAGGTGAAGAATTAGCGAAAATGGATGAAGAAATGATGAATATTCTTGCCGAGTCGAATGATTCGGAAGAAGTCCTAATATCAGAAGCCGAAGGCGCGCAGCACTACCAAGAAGAAATATACCGCTGCACTTTATTGAATACGAGTTGTGAAATTACATCCGCTGGTGTTACTGTATCGAATAGACCGGAAGTAGGTAGAATTAAGTTACCTAAGCTAGATTTACGAGTTTTTAATGGAGAATTAGAGGAGTGGCTCGGCTGGGGGGCTCACTTTGAAAAGATCGACAAAGCTTCTTTGGACGACGCAGAGAAATTTCAATATCTGGTGCAGGCTCTGGCAGGACCTGCGAAAGAATTAGTTTTAGGATTCCCGCCAACGTCTGAAAATTATCCTAAGGCTTTGAATTCCCTAAAAGAACGTTACGGAAACCAAGATTTATTAGGCGAATTGTATACGAGAGATTTATTGCAGCTTTGCATACGACAGTCGAAATCTAGACAGGATATTCTTCAAATTCATGATAAGGTTGAGACAGCATTACGTTCTCTAGAAAGTTTGCAAATTAATATGAAAGATTGTGCTCCTATAATTACCCCATTAGTTGAATCTACTCTTCCTGAGGAAACGCTCAAAGCATTTCGACGCGCATTACCTGTTGAGAAGCAATCATCTAAAGATCGACTAACATTTTTACTGCAATTCCTGAAAAAAGAAATTGATACAGAGCAGAGGGTAAAATTAGCTTCTAGATGTTTTGACCCTTTTCCGACACGAACGCGTACAGCTCAAGTACTACATACTAAAGAAAGAACCTTTGAAAATATTTGTATTTTTTGTGAAATACCCGGACATAAAGGAAAAAACTGCAGGAAGGCGCTTAGGATGAAAATAGACGATAAGAAGGCTATTTTATTGAAGAAGGGAGCATGCTTTATATGTACCGAAAAAGGACATACCCTCAAAGATTGTAAAATGAATGAAAACTGCCCTGTTTGTCAGAAGAGACATGTTTTACCTATGTGTCCTGTAAACCGTTTCTATTCGACTGGAAGAGGAGTTCCACAAGAAGAAAATAAGAGTGAAGTACAACCGAATCCTGAAAAATTCGAAAATAAGGAAACATCTTCAAACTCGGTAGTTATGTCAGTTGCTACGATTTTGCCAACAATTTTAGTTCCAATTAGAGGAAGATGGGGACAAGTCCGCAAAGTACAAGCCCTTGTAGATTCGGGATCTCAGAGATCATATATAATTAGTAGAGTCGCGACAAAATTGCAATTGCCTATTATTGGAACTGAAAAAGTAGCATTTGCCCTCTTCAGTGGAGTAACATCAAAAGAACAAGAACTGAATTGCTATAGAATTACAGCTCAATCAAGAGACACTATTTTAGAAATGGAAGTATTAGGAACAGATCGAATAACCAACTATACCACGCAGGTTAATGTTAAAATTGAAGGAAAAGAAACAGAAATTAGAGCTAGTAGCGGTCCAATAGAAATGTTGATAGGAGCTGATTATTTCGGTTCTCTACTGACTGGAAACCGACGAGTTTTAGATAAAAATCTCACGGCATTTGAAACTTTATTTGGTTGGACTGTGTTAGGAACACCCTCTGCACTTAGAACCTTCTCAACGTGTGTTGCGATAAATCACATAGAAGAAATACACGACCTTGAAACTAAATTCTGGGAATTGGAACTTCTTGGTATTAAAGATGATGCAATACAATGTGATAAAAAAGAAGAGATCATGAGAAATTTTTATGAGAATTTCAAGTACGAAAATAAACGCTATACTGTTTCGTTACCTTGGAAAAATGAAGTTCGTCCTCCGCCCAATAGAGCTCTAGCTGAAAGGCGATTAAGAAGTGTATCCAGTAGGATGACTCCTGAATTATATACCGAATACGATGCAGTTTTGAAAGATTGGATACTGACTGGTATTTTAGAGGAAGCTGAAGATAACGATAAAGGACACTATCTTCCGCACCGAGTTGTCGTACGTGAACAAAGTAACACAACCCGAGTGAGACCTGTTTTCGATGCATCCGCGAAAAGCGGGTTTTTGCCTTCGTTGAATGATACCCTCTCTGAATGCATAAATTTTATTGAATTATTGCCAATAATTCTCTTAAGATTTAGAGAAAATTTAATCGGTTGTTGTGCCGATATTGAAAAGGCTTTTCTTAGAATTAACGTGGAGGAAAAGGATCGCGATTTTTTGAAAATACTTTGGTGGAACGAGGAAGGAGAGATCATTTCATTAAGACATACCAGAGTTGTATTCGGCCTAAAACCGAGTCCATTTTTGTTATGTGCAGTAATCAAGACTCATTTGAATAAATTGAAAGACAGCAATTTCAAATTTCCTTGGGTAATTGAAAAGATGAGTAATTCGTTTTACATGGACGATCTAGTCTGCAGTGTGAATTCTAAGGAAGAGTTAGATGAATTTTTAATTCAAGCTAAAAATGTTATGGAGTCTGCTTCGATGATTTTGAGAAAATGGAAATTTAGCGGTTGCGATACACATGACGTGACAGTTTTAGGAATCCTCTGGTCTACGGACACCGACGAATTAGGATTAAACATTGATTGGTGGGAAGAAGAAAAGTTGCAGAAGCGGGACACCAAGCGTCGTATTTTAAGTTTGATTCACAAGCTATTTGATCCTATTGGCATAGTATCGCCTGTGTCAATAGTTCCTAGAATTTTTATGCAGAAGATTTGGAAGAATAAAATAGATTGGGATACCCCAATCAATGAAGAAGATCGAAAAGAAGTTGCAGATTGGTGTAAAGATATTCATTTGTTGAAGAAGGTTAAAATTCCACGATTACTAGGTAATGTAGAAACGATTAAAGGTGTTCATGTCTTTTGTGATGCCAGTAAGGCTGCTTATGCCTGCGTTATACTTGTAGTAATCGAAGATGATGATAGGAAAATTGATGTTCGTTTTGTTACCAGCAAAGCTAGGGTAGCTCCGAAAAATGTAACAATTCCAAGATTGGAACTGATGGCCGTTTTAATCGGTGTAAGATTGTTAAAATCAGTCTTAGATTCAATGTCTTGGAAGGACAAACCTGTATTCCTGTGGTCCGATTCAACTACAGTCATACAATGGATAAAGCGAAATGAAGCGTGGTCAATTTTTGTAAAGAACCGAGTCACAGAAATTCGCAGAAATTTGGCACCCCATGTAACTATAAGGCACGTACCTGGGGCTAATAACCCGGCAGATTTACCATCGCGTGGATGTAGTACTAAGAAAATTTATAGCGATAGAGGAACGAATTTTGTTGGCGCAGCTAATCTACTTGAATTAATTAACTGGGAAAAGGTAAACAAATTTGCTACAAGTGAACGAATTGATTGGAAATTCAATGTGCCCAGTGCCCCTTGGTGGGGAGGTTGGTGGGAGCGTTTAGTAGGACTTCTTAAAAATATTATGAGGCGTGTATTAGGACAAGCCAGCTTACATTACCAAGAACTTTACACAATCTTGTGTGAATGTGAAAGCATTATGAATAATCGTCCTTTAACTTACTTAGATGAAGGTGGTGAAGTAGCCCCGTTGACCCCAGCTATGTTTTTAAGAGATCTTATAGAAGATGGTATGCCTGAAGTTCGAAGTGAAAGAGATGATTTAACCAGACGAGCATTATACCTTGCAATGCTCCGGAGAGACCTGAGAAAACGTTTTCGAAATGAATATTTAGGTTTTCTTCGAGCTCCTCGTCATAAGAGTGACTCCCGCTCCTTGATGATTGGCGATATAGTTCTAATTGGAGACGACAATACCAGACCTTTGGATTTTCCCCTTGCGGTGGTAGAAGAAATGGTTCCTGGTATAGATGGAGTTGAACGAATGGTTCGGCTACGCACAGAGAAGGGAAAGATATGTCGTCCGATTCAGCGGCTCTACCCACTAGAGATTCGTAGTTCTATTGGTAAACTGAAGGAAAATGCTGAAGTGGAAACTACCGTTCCACCTATTGACATGGTGGACTTGAAGGATGACAGTCAAGAAGATTATGCATCGGAAAATACAGATGTTATTGATCGAAGAGGACGGGTTATACGTAGACCAAGTCGTTACCTTTGATCAAGAAAATAAGATTTCTTGGGTGGGAGTATGTTGGAAAGTGTGTTGTGCATGTTTAAAAAAAGGATGAGTTGATTGTTGTTAAAGTGCGATGAGTTTTGTTTTGTAAAAACGTCAGATAATAAAATTGTGATTTTTGACAGGAAAAAGGAAAATAAAAAACGATTTGAACTTAATCCGTGACAGGACTCATTTGTAATTAGAATTGATTACCTATTATTTTAGGTAAGAAACCACATATTTGGCGACCGTGACAGGACTCATTTGTAATTAGAATTGATTACCTATTATTTTAGGTAAGAAACCACAGTTTCAAAAGTCATACTTGAAGTATCGTTACTTAGCAACTTTAAAGCACGTGTGTTTTAAAGGCCCTTTTTCGCACGCATTTGAGTGTTTAAAACGGAGATTGTGATTCAGGTATAATAAAAAAGTGTTTTTGCTGGCTGTCAAAACCCTAAGTAAAGAAGGAGAAAATCTAAAACACTTGAGACATAGTATATTCCATGAACAGATTTATATACTTTTTATGAATGATAAGCGATTCCAAACAAAAGATTTTGGTGATTTTCTTCATTAATTAATTACGAAGAATCGCAATTTCAGTCGGGGAATTTTTCGCTCAGCTCGTATTCGGAAACCAGACTTTTGATATCCGGCTCATCTTCAATAGCACTGATCCTTGAACTCGTAGAAATCGATTGGCGAAGATTTGACATCGCTATCTCTTTTCGTTCTCGCGTTAGATGAGGAACAGGCAGACGGACAGACGGACAAAATAATCACGTAAGGAGAATTTTTATTCTTTCGAAAAATTCCTCTAAAAGTGGATTGCGAATGCACAGTACATTACTTTTTGAATTGACCATTTCTTTTCTGAAATTTTAACTGAAGATGTTTACTTACAAAAGCGATCACACGTCATCAGAAATTGATTGTTTATGCGCAAAGTCATCCTTCTTAGTTCCAGGCGGATTTGAAAATGAATTTGACTATAGAGCAAGTAACCATTTTTTTAAGACCGCGAATCAAGTTGTTAAAATAGAAACTAATCGTGGTAATTTTACTTATCGGGCAGGAAAATTATAACAAAAAAGTTGTTCCTCGCTATTATGCATTTATGCATAGGGTACAAAAAGTAGTTGTGTCTTTTGTTGTTAAAGCTGTACAAACAAATTTTTTACACCATCTATGAAGAATAAACTACGCCCATGAATTTTGACAATAAGCTCAATCAAATTTTGATTATTTATTAAAAAAAAAAATAAAAAATAATGACAGGATGAGATGAAATAGAATTTTTCTAAATTTACCCAAAGTTCTACTACTGCCCCCAGCAAATTTACCGCTTAGCATGAAATTACTATGCGGGAAACACTTCGTCGTATTTAAATTTTTTCGTAATTTTGTTAGCGATGGACAGAAGTATAGATGAAACTCGTCGTTCGATTAATGGCGTTACAATCCCAAGGAAATCTTTCCTGTTCTGATTAAGAATGTCATTCGCTGCTTTGACTAAAATTATAAAATTAATAAAGTATGATGGTCAATGTACATGCATACTTAATGTGACATCGTTTGGAGTAGGAGTCTCTAAAAGGATGTTGTAGTCCCCGATTTGCAGTTGGACCTCCAAACTTGTAAATTGGAAGGTATTTTCACCATTTGCTTGTTTAGACTCGGCCTTTAGTACAGCGGTTCCAAGACAGTTAGCTAAAATAAAGCGTTAAGAAGTGCAAACAATTAAAAGCAGAACGTACTCGCATTTGCATAAAATTTGCCTTGCCCTTTGAATGGTACTACTAAAATTCGGGCGTTTATATCGAAGTCGCCAGTCAATCTTAACAAAGGTATTATTACTTGAATACGGAACGTTAAATTGGGAATATTTGTTCTGAAACAAAAGCTCATTTAGTTCAAGGGCACAGCGAAGTTTTTTAAATAATTAATCGACATAAAAAACTCGATCACATTATATAACAGATAACAACCTATTAATTAGTTACTAATATACTCGTAGATCAACTTACCTACGTGTAATGGATTTATAATTTGAAATAACAAGCGTCATTTGTTTTTTAGAGTTTTTCCGAGAAAATTAACAACAGCCAGCGGCGATTTGTCTATATAAGAATTATAAGGCTATAGGTACTTACTTTAGTTTGACAAGCTGAAAATCGGAAGCTCCGTAAACGTCAATGTTTTTCAGTAATGCCTTAAACGTAGGCGATCCTCTTCCGAGATCTACGTCTTCCACTTTCAGAGGTTCCAAACCAGGCACGTCTAATTCTGCAATGCCTTTCCTTAAACGCGGTCTTAAAAATTCAACAGATTCCTTAATGCAATCGGCAACTTGCGGATCGCTTCTCTTACAAACGTGAATATAATCCGCTAAAACGCACACAATAGTAAAGCCACCCTATATTTAACACCCCTTACGTATTTGGGCACGAGCGCTCACAACCACCAAAAGGGACACCAAACCAAATTCGAAGTACATGTTCACTTCTACCGATCAATTTGGACAATAAAAGTAATGTACCACTTAATTGACTTGTTGTGGAGTAGCCGATAAAAAAGACAAGCTTATTTATATAGTAGGTAAGATTTTTTAAACGTCCTTCAGCAATCTACGAACTTTCAACCATAAATCCAACCAATGAAACTTATATATACAGAAACATTGAATGAAAACTCACCGTATGGTAATTATGTCCTATTTCCAATTGCAATTACAAAAAAGGACTATAACCTTAATTGCCACCGAGCAATTAGATAATTGTAATATGAAATTAAAAGTCTTGGTGTTTATTCTAATGCCGGTAATTAATGAGCATATCTTGAAGATCTAATGCATTTACCTTGGACGATTGTGGGATAGCTCAATCCGCCCAACAAAGTATTACCTATTTATTCTATGACTTTGACATTGCTTCACGGTGGAAAGTTAGGCTTTTACTTTAATTTACGGAAGTTCACCAGGAAAACCGTATTTAAGTGGAGCTAATCTGACTGGCTTAATGTGCGTTTCCAAAAAGTAATTAAATTAAATAATACTCGCTTAAAAAACGTGTAGTTTCGATTACTGCTTAAATTTTCCGGTTATTAAGAAACAAAATTCTCTACTACATTGTCGCTGGTTTTTGCGCACTTACTTCTCCGATTTTGGTAAACTGTACAAGTCATCTCTACACTCACTTTTTACTTTCTTGGTCCAAGCATGATGCCGATCCCTAAATTAACAGCCAAATGAAGTTTTATTAGGGCCAATTTAGCGTTCTACACGTCTAGGTAGGTATGTGAAATAGGGAAATTAACAAACTACGAATGGCTTGGCTTTCATATTGCGCTAGCCGATGTTCTGTATTTAATTTTATGTTTGTATTTGAGCATCTTGGCCTGTAAGTAATTGTTTCTTCTTTACAGATAAAAGAAGAACCCGGTAATTCCAACTTTACGAAGAAGCTGCTTTCATATGTGGCTTCGATCTAAGACGACTTCCTATATAAACAGATCGAACTAATTTTGAAAGAATTGTCACGAAAAACGTATTAAAGACACGTGTTATTGGAGATTTGATTAAAATCCTAAAATTTGGTGGGAGGTGCTCTAAAGGTTACGATGAAGAGAAAATTTGGGGTGTATTAAGAAAGGAACTAAAAAACGAATTGCTTTTCAGTATAACGTCCAAGATCTCAATCTGCCAAAGCAAAGATTATTAATGCCACTTTAATAACCGATTCTGTCCTTCTGTATCTAAGAATATGTGTAAAAAATTTGGTTCCATCCGTTTAACCGGAAATAAGAGTACAAACGGACCGACATACCGACATCATCGACATTTTGTTTGCTTCGGAATCCTGGTGCTTCAAAACGTGTATTTCCGTTAAAAAATTGGGGGATCATTTTTTACCCCAATGCAATACCTCCCTTATCAACGTGCGGATGGTAAAAAAAAATTCAGTCAACCTCTAGAATTAGAAACTCCATTAAATGAAATTTATGTGTTTCCTCTTCGGTTTAGTTTGAGATGTTTAATATACAGATCATTACTTTTGCTACGCCAAAGGCCATGCTAATGACTTTGGGAAAACCTTGGCACAAGAGGAACTGAAAAGGTATTGACGAGTTCGAGCAGGAAAAAAGTAAAGTCAAGTGTAATTTTAAGGACTGTGAGTGCATACGCAGTTCGGTATGAATGATGCTAGTAGACAACCTTAATCGCAGTAAAGGTAAGTGCCCTGGACCGGAACAGCAATGTCAAACAAACCGCTTTAAATTATTGTTTCTTAGCAATTTCGCTCAAAATGTATTAATTTGTCACATCACTAAAAATAAAAGGTGACCTTATTCGATACACATGTCCATTAACGATTAATTAATTAAGAAGAAATAGTGGGAGTAAATTGACCACAAAACACAAAAAACGTTAGCGTCAAACGTGAACTTGAGTGTTATTTTGCGCTTTAGGTATACAAGCACAGATTAACTACAATAGTAGTTAATCGGTGATACAAGATATTGTAAAATTGTTTTCTTTTGCGCGCATGGCAACAAATGTGGGGTGGCATGAAGCTTAACGACTCTATTGACTTATGAAATAACACTCCATGTTCTAGGGACACCTCTTGTACGACAAAGCTCACTCACTGATCCTTTGATCCCTAAAGCCTGCGAAGACAACTCCTAAAATGTTAAACGGCACAATATTGCATTGCAAGTGGCATATTTCATTTGATTATTTAATTGCCAGAATTAAAAGAGCGAAATCATAAAATGGTACGCGTACCATCTCTTACTGCAATTATTTACAGTATAGGTGCAAGGTGTCACTTTATTTTGTTTATAATTTTGAAATTTGTTGAGATACACTCTCTGACTACTCTTGACCTTTTTTGGCAAATTTAATATCATAAATTAAATGACAATTATAATAATCAAATTTTGATGTATAGTTTTGCGGTTAACAATTTTTATGAATTTTTACACTATACAGTGCA